CTAAACGCTTGTCTGTGTCTGCTTTGTGAACCTCCCTGCACGTATTTTCTTGCTCGCCCCCCCTCCCTTTCTCTCCACCTTGCTCCTGTCTCATTAACGCAATCAGCCGGGACCCGTGGGTGAGATGGGCCCTGGAGGAGCCAACGGGCCACGTGGGGAGCTGGGCCCGGAGGGGAGGCCCGGGTCTCAAGGCAAGACGGGCACCGAGGGGGAGCCTGGGGTGCCCGGACGCTCGGGTCGACCAGGGCCTCCCGTGAGTGATGTGATTTAGTGTGCTGATCTTAAACGTGCATTGGAAATTGTTGATACTTCGACTGATGCTCTTGCAGCTGTGGAGTGACTCATGCAGCCAGCCATGGCTGCAGGGTTTTGGTGTTACATGTTGTTTATGTCGCTTATTGTGAAAATTCGGTCACAGTTCCTATGATCACTGTTACATTGCTTTTATGGCTGTATTTTGGTGATTTCGAAAACGTTTTTTGGTTTGGCCATGTTTGTTTGTTGTAGTACGGAGTTAGACTGATGGCATTAATCTAAGTTGTATTGTGGTTGTTGTTTGACTTGCATCCCACTGGGATTTTTGCACACAGCGTTGGTGTACGGTGCTTAATGTGGAATATTTTGCTGTCTTTTCCTGGATTCTCTGTTTGCACTTAGTCACATAGTCAAATTAAGATGTTTTCTTGGTCATGTTTTTGTTTGTTGCGGTTGCACCCGATTCAATAGCCGAATGGTTCACAGGGCTATACCAAATACATGAAACTGAAAAAAACTGAGTGATGTGCGCGAGGACTACAGCGTGACCGGTTTATCGCCCTGGCATCCACGAGGGTCGATGCGTTTTCAATATCGATAATTATAGCTCCTTTCCCGCCGCTGCAAGCTGCTGATTTCGTGCCGGTAATGCGTACAAGCGACTAACGAAACAAATGCCACGACAAGTACCGTACCTGCAAGGGAGAACGCTTTTAGGCAGATCAGAATAAGCATTTGGAAAATCTGAATAAAATTTGTGTAGCCAACACTTCCTGCCAAATTGAGGTTGTAAAGTTTCATTTTTTTTGTCTAACTTTTGCGTACTCCTTCGTTCATTCCCCGCCCCGCCACAGGGTCCGATCTCCAGCGAGCAGAGAATCCGCGAGCTCTGCACACGCATGATGACCGGTGAGTGTGCCCAAGCAGCCTGCACCAGGCTATACCCACGAAAGCAATGGCACTGTTCTGTTTTCATTAATGTTAGTTTTGTAAAAAAGATTGTTCACATTTCCCATGCGTTTTCAAGGTCTACCGCATGTCGTTGGGCATCATGTCCAACGTTTCGCGTTACGTGCTGTGAGCTTTCAATTCGGTTCGCGAAGAAGCACGTGGAGCGAAACGTGAGGCGTCGTGCCGAACAACACCGAGCGGTACAGCCATGAGACACGATGGGACGGCGATAAACAATCCTTTCTCTGCGCGTCTCTTTCCTTGTCGCTTGTGGCCGCCACTACCCCCCACCACCCGTCGCCCCCTACACCCGGCCCTGCACCAGACCAGGTGGCCCATCTCTCCTCCAGCCTGCAGCGACGTGAGCTTGGAATGCCGGGCCTACCTGGGCCCCCTGGCCCTCCTGGGTCGCCCGGCGACACGGGAGTCACCGGCCTGCAGGGCCCACGTGGCCCGCCCGGCCTCAAGGGACCTTGGGGCATCATGGGAGACACAGGGCCCAAGGGTGAGATGGCCAAGGAACGTGTTGTTGGCACACAGATGTGGTGGGGCGATTAGTCCCGTGTGTGTTTAGGGTTAGGGTGCATGTTTGGGACATTGTGTAGTGCTTAGGCCATTGTTTAAACTATTAGACCTAAGTTTAAGCCATTAGAGATGTTATATTTCTGCCAGTATACATACTGGTAACAAACAAGGCAGATGTGAATGACATCCTGGCGAGAATATAGTGAAACGCAACCCAAAATTCGACCTGGCTGAAAATCCCCAAAACAAACCTAAAAAACTACAAGTACATTTTATAATTACGCTTGAATGTTAATCTTTGTTGTGTGTACACGTGTGCGTGTGGCCAGGTGAACTGGGCACTACTGGCGACAAAGGAGCTGTCGGAAAGGCCATTAAAGGCTCTGTGGGAGATCCAGGTCCTCAAGGTAAGGGTGCTAGTTGCACGGGCGGAGGAATCAATGAGTGGAGTTCATGGGAACCAATAACCCATGGTAGTAGTGATGGAAAAGTGATGAAGTGAGCTAATATTTCACAAATCCGGGGCTCACTGTGGCACCCCCAGGTGTTCCGGGCCCTGAGGGCGTGAGCCGGAATGGACGAGATGGGTCAGCGGGCGACCCTGGAGATCCGGGACGCGTCGGACTTCAAGGGTCATCCGGTGCGGCCGGGACGGCCGGAATCTGCGACAACTCGGCGTGCGTGCCCCAGGGGCCGCCATTTATCGTCTTCAGCAGCAACAAGAACCACGGCAGCGGGAAGAGCAAGAAACGACGTCACGCAGCGCCGCGTCACACCCGGTCATCGCACTTGGCATAGACGTGCGACCCTTGAACCCTACACCCCGCACGGCCTGACCCCGATGACCCCATGAGCTCAGCACGAACGGCCGCCCCTCTCACGTGACCTCTGCCCTCCCCTTTTCATATTCCTTCTGGCTTGCCTTCATCACAAGCACTGCTTGTTTCTCATCGCTTACTCTCCTCCACATTTTTCCTCCTTGACTTCTTTCCCAAATTGTCTCTCCTATCCCGCCCGTGCTCATCGAGTATTCCCCTCCGCCATCTCGTTTCCTCCCCTCAGTCTTCTCCCTTCTTCTTTTGTCGTGCTCTGTGTTCTCCCGATGCCTGAGCACGTCCCGTAGAAATTGGAGAATTCCCAAGCGTGGGAGAGCGGTTGCCGTGATGGTGAATGCTTCACGCTCAGCGGGAAGAGAAGGTGACGGATGCAAGGACAGCGACGGGATTCTCAAGATTTTTGTTTTTTTATAAAGCAATGGTTACGATGTTTTTTTTCTTTCACACACCGACCAGTAAGCTGCGAGTGAACGTTTCCCGTCAACCCAAACATTAGTGACAACTGTGGGATGTTGTGAAGCCTATGACCCCCTAAAGAGTTTACTTAATTGCTCTCCGATGCATTAAGGTATACCAAGTTACAACCGGAAAATGTATCCGAGAGCTCGACAGCAACAACCGCTAAAAGATACGCAGTACTAAGAGTTTACTTTCCTAGAACCCTCACATTTTTTTTCACTCCTATTAACTACACACACGCACAGCGAAGTGATCAGCTTTCCTGTTTGGTGCTATACTCGTGTATATTGTTAATACTGAAGTATCGATTTGTCAAGGAACAATGGCTAGATGTGTTGAAAATTTCCGGATTCGAGGCGGCCCCGGTGGCTCAGGGAGGCTGATACTACAGCCCTCGTCAGAGCAATGAGCCAGCACCATGGAGACGCTGGGTTCAACTCCCGGGTTTCCCAACCGAGATTAACGCAGGCTCTCAAGTGAAGGGCGCTTAATTGGTTTAGCCCCGTCATCACAATGGCGTGAAAAAAATCTTATGTTTTGGGGCTTTACGTTTAATTTGGTCGCGCCCAGCACTCGTGAGGGCTTCGAGTAACAGAAGATGGGCACAAGGCAAATCATTCAATGTCCGCGTGGGTGAAGGGGTCGTGCCGAGTGGTGGTGGTTTATTAAAACTTTTCAAGGCAATTGGAATATTCCTGAAGTTGGAACGTGTGACTGACATCAATACAAAGCCCCAGAATGGTTTGCCATGTACCTCGCCACTGATCATGCGTTCGGGCCTTTAAATTGGTGACAAAATTACATTTTATTTGAAATGTAATGAATAAAATGTATTAACTTGAAAATCGCCTGTATGCTAAGTATTGCCTTGTGGGGTTTTAAATAAAAAGTAACATGTGGACAAAGAACCTTTGAGATGTCCTGAAGGATTCCTCTGTTGACACTTGCCCTGATTTTGCAGACTTGAGCACATTTAATCCTTGATATTTTGTGTCCTACTTGGGACCTTGACCTTGGTCCCGAGTAGGAAAATAGGAAAGTTCACAATTTATTTTCACCCATGAAAAAAAATCAACATGAACCCATGTCGTTGTTGGTTCAACAAACATTTTAAACGTGGAAAGATGTTGTGTCGAGGACTAGAGGCTTGGGAATCCGATTTAAGGGCTCAAAATTCAGAATGTATCATTAAAGTCAACCTTTGTTTCTATTCGGCGCCCTTATAAAACCTCCGTATAGATTCTTTGTGCCAAATTTCATCCTTCTGTTCCTTCTAAAACATTCGATTTTCAATCAGTCGCTCATATCGATTAACACGTATGGTTATGTAACAGGCCTTACAGAGCCTTCACTTGATATTTGACCGATTTCGACGAACACTGGAAAAAAACATGTAATATCTGGAAACTTCCAGTCCTCACACCACTTTAACAAAGGGTCCATTGACCAACGTTAGTCTCATCCCCTAACACACACCTATGGGATGGTGTAGCGCCCACTAGAGAATGCATTTCACCCGCACCAGAAATTCTCATTGACCAACCGAAATGATGGCCCATCCACTTAACACATTCCTGCGGAGGGAGCTGGTAGGAACGTTGGGTTGCTCGGTCAATGGTGGCGTGGTGTATTCCACAAATATGCCCGACTGTGAGGGCGGGCACAAGCCGGCGTGAGTAGGTTAAACGTTGAGTTTTATAAGGGCACCACGGGGTGACCAGCCCCTCCCCACCCCACCCAGCCCCTCCCTGCACCATGGACGGACACAATAATCCCGTGGGCTGGTGTAACCAGGTTCCTACCATTAACATATACTTCCACATATCTAATTTACACACTGTAATTCCAACTAACCTCAGATACATAAAATGGGCTAAGCCTTGCACAATTTTTTTTTGGGGGGGGAGGGGGGGAGTTTCAATCAGGATTTTGCTTAAAGTGAACTTTTAATTTAATAAAACACAAATGCCATCATAGTTTGAAAGTTGTCTTTGTTGCCAGTGATAATGTACAGGAACAATGAGACCAACAAAAAAAAACAATACCGTCAACTCGGCGAAAGAATGAGCAAAGCTTTTAAGCAATGTCCATCAACCGAGGTACAGGGTTAACCATGTTTTTCAGTACGAGTTTACTACTGGCAGTTATTACAAAAAGAAAACTTAAAAATAGGAAATACATATTACTAATTACAAAAATACAATTTGCAATAAGCCTGCTAGTTCTGATGGTCATGTTTATTTGGCCCGTGCTTTTCAAACAGACATCGACTGGTTGAACCTTTACACCAATTAAAAACCCTTTTACATTGTCTTGTTCAATCTAATTGCTTCACGATGCAATTAGGTCTTTAGGTCATCACTTAGATGAGATGGTGGGCAATAGACATTTAACGATTCATCAATACGTCTATAAAGTTGAATCTTACTCGCAGTACATGCATTTAATCATGTAATAATCGGTTTTAATTTGCATATGCGGTGTGTTGGGAGAACTGGTGTATGTTCCCATGCTGCGCTATGAACCTGGTGGCCTAAGTTCGTTTACCCACCACAGCGAACAGGTGGCCGAGTGATATCTGAAATGTTAACTGGCCTCCCCTTTGGTCACATCATCCTCAACATGTATACCCGACGTGTATCAGTGCTGGGGAGTCAAGGCGGCCAGGCGTTGTGCTGGCCACACCATCATCCCCTTGTGCGCCGTGCAAGCGAACAGCATTTTCCTCAACACCGAGGCTACACGTGTGATTTGTCAAGATATGTTTCAACGGTTATGGTGGTGGTGTGTGCATTGCTGGGTTTGGACTGTTGCACATAAAACGTGGTGCTATTTGCTGAAAATTAATTTTCAGAATACAGCTACACAAAGAATGTTTCCGTTCAAGCGACACACAGCAAAACTCAGGTGCAGAATGAGACAATAACCAGCAGGCACAGATTGTCCGGTAAACAATCTTCCGTTTACTAAAGGGTCCACCAATACTGCTGCAAGGTGATAACTCGCAACGAAAACCTCTTCCCCTCTCCTTGTGGTGAAGCCTCTTAATTAAGCTGGCGGATGAGCTGGTTGATGTCATCCCCGCGGTCACCCGTGGGGCCGGTTTCGGACTCCTGGCCGCCCTTGCTGAGCCGCGAGTGGCGCGCCACCGACAGCATCATGGGCTGCAGGAAGAAGGCGGCCGTTCGGAAATTCTTGCCAAGCGTGAAGATCTCGTGGATCACGTCCTCCAGGCACACCATGCCATGCTTGCCTGCGTGAGCGCGCACACACACACACACCACCGTCAATAGTCACTAATCACGCCTTTCCGTATTCATGCTATTTGTATTCATATAGCATCCTAGTGCGACCGCACATCAAAACACTGTACATCTTCACTGTGGCTTCATTGTTACATTACAATTTGGATGTATACGTCCATAAATCCATCCGACTGGCACCAGCAAATAATTATAGAATTCATTCTATTACAAATTTAGTCGTATCCCTTCGTCATCTCGCCTCAAGTCAGGCGTAAAAACGCGGCTCCAAGCAATTTTCTAAATGAGCATGGCTTATAAGGGTATGTGTGGCTGAATGTTGTACGATTGTTAGGTGCAGTGTGAGGATTAGAATGGATATGGTAAAGTGCCTTGGAATGGTTCTGACAGAGGGGGAAATATAAATGTGAATGATCGTTATTAACAACTTATTGGAAGACAGCAGACATAGACCAACATCCCCGTATTGCTTACAAAGCCTAAAAGATATAAGAGCAAGTGCTATTAGTGAGGACACAGACTCATACACACACGAGGAAATGAGTGTGGTGGGGCGGGAGTATTACCCAGGCAGTCCTCAATCATGGCGTTGTCGGTGAGAGGGCACAACTTTCCGTTCACCTTGGTCTGTCCCCGCTTCAAGATCAGCTCACGCACAGACTTTAGGTTTGGGTACCTGGTGAGATTCAACACAAACACACCCAGTTTGACATACAAGCACGTGGTCTGGCCGGAATTAGGCTACACAAGCTAGCTCAGTGGGCAAAGTGGACCACAACGCTACCTGGCCACCGAATACCTAATTTCCATAGACAGCGAACTCAAGTTGACTTGAGCAGATCTGAGTAGGCCCGATTTTTCTCAGAACTCGAGTGTATGGACAACTCCCATTGTGTCAGTCAAAATTTTATAAATGACTCGCATATCACTTGATCCTCAGCCCCTACAGGCAGACTAATGCTGGCCAGTGCTGCGTTCAATGCATCCCTCACAGGACAGCTGCCACCAGGGGTCCCCTGCTGCAGACAGCCGCAATGTGCAGTGCACGGGAGGTGCGATATAAATATTAAGTTACGAGGATGGCGATGGGCAAGGGTGGGATTTTCATCTTACCCCCACGCGATGAAGGGCTCCACCTCGCGCAGCATGTGCAGCGACGTCTTGCCAAGTTTGATGAAAACGCCCGAGAAGATGCGGCACAGACGCAGCAATTGCAGGCAGCGCTTTGCCTTATAGCTGCATGCGTTGCAACTGTGAGGGCAAAGATAGTTAATTGCTGATGACCAGAGGCATTGGGTAGTGCTGCAATGCCTGAATGTTAGACTCATCGGCTATGATCGTTCCACTGCTGGACAATGGCCTCCGTAAACACTCATCCCTAACAGCGCTTATTCAATCAATCATGATTCCCCCCCCCACCCCCCACGAAATATAACCTATCATATAATTTAGCTTTTAGGGCAGTTTCACTGACGAATAGACCTTACCAGGTGAAATTAAAAAAAATTTTAGTTGGGAATGTGTGATTTAAAAAATTTTAATACACAAAGACAAATATACCGGGGTGGCACTTTTCCAGCAGTGGATTGACAACAATTTCCCATGTACATTATTTGAGAAAGGAAGCAGGTGAGCTGTCCAGGCAAGCGGCAGCTCCCACCCACGTTGAACTTCTTTCGCACCGGAGTTGCGAGGGAAGAACAACTGAACACAAAAAGCAGTTCTAAAATAAATGCATTTTCAAATGTGCGTCCGTGTCATCACCTGCGCACGCGCACGGCGAAGATGAGCCGCGGCTCTGCGGGCGGCGTGAGGTGGGGCCCAGGCTTGCACTCCAGTCGCTGCAGACGCACATCGTCGCGCTCCCTTTTGCGGCTGTCGCGCAGAAACTGCTCCGCGCGCTTAAACTTGATCTTGCGCTCGGTCTTCGAGCCCTGAGGAGAGGGGTTGTGGAGGTGAGCGAGGACGAGCAGACGCTGAACGTGGACGCTGTGAAACCGTCAAGTATTGTTGGGTGTTTACCCTTGGTAAAGTGGACGTAAAAAACAACCCATGCAATTAATATTATCACGCGCACGGGTAGGTCAAAATAATAATTTAAACAATATTAGTCCTATCTTGATTTGAAGCTTTCATGACTGCAGGAATCCATACTTTTTGGTTCTTTCGGTAAAGTCACATAGGTAGAAAATAAAATAAACCACGACGTTTTGGGTGCAACACAAGCGTCCGTCATCAGGTCCTGTGTACTGACAGTAGTCAACCTGCAGTGCCAATGGACTAATGGCCACGGGAGGTAATGACAGGGGAGTCAGCTTGCAATGCGAGTGGACTGGTGGCTATGGGATTGATCGACAATAGGAGCGTGGCCAGAGGACAAAAGTGGACAGTCGAGTCTGCTGGTAGAGCGAGCGGTCTAGAACCAGCGAGAAGGTCCGGGAATGGGGGCGTGGCCTCAGACTGTATAGGGATGTTGCAATGGGGTCTCTCCGCCTGTTGGGAGTGTGAGCACATGGCTCCTTGAATAAAGAAACCATCTCAAGACAAGTGCGTCCAAGTCGCCATTACATCTGTATCAATCGAGTGCTAAATGAAAGCCTCCCCACGCCACCGATGGTCGTGGGTGGCCGGTTGGCCACACACTTCGCCATGTTCGCCAGTGTGCGTTGGCGAAGGTTGGGCACAACCCATGACCGGTTCAGATAACACATTCCTGCGGAGGGAGCTGGTAGGAACGTTGGGTTGCTCGGTCAACGGCAGCGTGATGTTTTCTGCAAATATGGTCGACTGTGAGGGCGGGCGTGAGTAGGTTAAACGTTGAGTTTTATAAGGGCACCACGGGGTGAGCAGCCTCTCCCCACCCAGCTCCAACCCCTCCCACCCACCCAGCCCCTCCCCACCCACCCAGCCCCTCCCCACCCCTCCCATTTTAGATGCACGACGGACGGACACAATAATCCCCTGTGGGCTGGTGTAACCAGGTTACTACCAGTATCACTCGCCACAAACATTAAAGTTAAGTCACTGGGTGCCAATTTCATAACCCAAATTAATTCCTTTAAGTCGAACCGAGCTGTAAATGCTGCACTTTGGAGACTGGGTTGGTGGATTACACACATTATGTACGGGCACCTACATTAAAGGCTACAATTGTTTTCAGTACAAGACGGCACAGAAAACCGGTTGCCGACTTGTAAGTATTCCCAGCTGGATCCTTCTGTAAGGTTTTTTTAAAACTCAGTGGAGCACCCTAGGATAAAGATCATGGTATAATAATCGCAATGTTAAATAGCATTAAGAGTCAAGGCAGTTGCTGAAGTTTACCTTCCTCTGTTGTAAATTGCGCTTCTTCTGCGTTTCCTTGATGGCCTGGTAAGCTTTCCGCTTCTTCAGCAGGTTCTCAGGTACTTTGGGCAGCCTCTTCACTTCTCTGCACAATCAGACACAAGCCCATACAGTTATTTGCGTGGACAACAAAGCACTACAACAGTGTACAGGTCTGCTTCGCCTTGCACCAACACACCTAGGGCAGCCTCATCGCCGAGGCTCTGCATTGGGATGCTCCGCCAATTCCACTACTTATGATGAGCGTTTGTCTCACGTGGCAAACCCACCACGAATTCGAAGGGATCACTCTCAAAGCGCCGCACAGATTGATAACGGGAAATGCAATATTTGGAGTACCACTATCTCAGTGGTCCCGGCAGCCAAACCAACAAGAACCACTTTTGGCGTCATCTGGTCCAACACCAATGGAGACTAGGCTCTAAGAAAAGCTGTCTCGGGTGTGGACCAATCAACTTCAAGGACAGTGCATATCATCATTATCAGAGTTGTTTCTTTTCGTTTGCATTTTGACTGCTTGTGTTGTGGTTATTGCAAACACGATCCCTTGTATAAAGGTATCAGTTTTTGTACCAGTTGAAAGGGTAAAAACCTATTACCATAAGAGCCATTTTTCTCAAATTCGGTAAAAAAAACTCAATACTTCAAGGGCTGCAATGCGCTGTGGTGAATACGTGACGGTGGCCCTTGACAAAAATCATCACGAATGAGTCCTTAACGAGCCGCATGCGGCTCCGCAACGCTGGTTACCGACACCCCCCTTGGCAAAAATCTCCTCTCGTCGACAACCACACCGCGGCGTCGTTTAAAGGCCGCGTCTTAAACACGTGTCGCGAGCGTGGAAGATCTCGCGTGAACAAAAGTTGCATCGCTTTACCCGAGGTGCAGTCTAATATAGCCAGCCACTGCTGTCCCGCACGTCTACGAAACCACGTCTAAGCTCTCCAACGCCTTCACCACACCCGTACGGCCTCGTGTGAAGTATTGTCAAACAAAACCCAGCCCACGACTCGGTACCGGTTGTGGCGACAAAACGGGCCCGTTCCGCGTACAGTAACACGCCGAGCACGCAACCGTACGCCCGTGTTAAGACATTTAAGCACGCAAAAAAAACCCTCCATAATCCGATAAATCAATTAATCGACGTGGTATTTAATTACAGCACAGGTTAATCGCCGTGATATGATCGATGTTCGTGAAGGATGGCGGGAGATTGTCCGCATAGAGCGGCCACTTACTCTGACTCCGCCATGGCTGCTCGAGAGGGAGGAGGAGGGTGCAGGCCGTGACGTCACGAGCGAGGTGCGGGGCGACGGAAGCCCGCGGTGTTCATAAAACGCGTTCTCAGAATGAATTTTTAAATACTGGAGGAATCTGATGATCTGTTAAGCTCTTTATTTCACACGGATGTCCAGCAGGAGCGGGTCAAAGCGTTGTATATAATAATACAAAAACCACGTTAGGAGTGAGCAGTTTTAGGAAAGGTAAACAAAACGCTTAACAAATAAAACGCAAATATTTATAACCCCACCATTCAATAAAAATGATTGTGTATCTGTGTATGTTGAACTTCTTTCACACCGGAGTTTGCGGGGTAAGCACAACTAACTGAACACAAAAAAGCATTTCGAAAGAAACGCGTTTTCAATTGTTTGGACGACTTTTGACCCCCCCCCCTTCGTCACACGGCGTCACAAAAAGTCAGACCCCCCCCCTCAGATATGACGTCACAAAGCTCTGCCCCCCCCAAATATAAAACATGCTTCAAATCGCTTTAAACTATTGTCATTGTAGTGCGTATTTACTGTTCCGCTGCACTCTGATGTTGTAGGAGAAAACATTTATTAAAAAGTCGATTTAATTATGTAAAACGTGTTGTCTATATTTATTTAAAGTTGCGCATTTTTATGTGACGTCACATTTCTCAAACCTCCCCCTCCCCCCAGGTGCGTGACGTCATTTATGGACGACCCCTAAACGGTTTCACACTATGTTGGATAGCCAATTAAACGTCTACAGTACTAAGAGTTTAAAGCGTCGTTTACAAAAAAAAAACGCTAAATACATCGAGCCGCGGCGCTACCCGTAGGTAGCGTTGCCGTGCTACCATGGCAACACGTTGTTTACACGGAGCGGGGAGCGAGGCCGCGTGGGTGACACGTGGAGCGGTTGCCACCGGTTTAAAAAAACACTAAAAGTTTAAACCCTAACGCGGTTATCTCAGCCGCGATAAACTATAACGAAATAAACACACCGGCATTATAAGAAGACGCCTTCAACGATGGTCCTCAGTAAGTGTATGCACACGGGGCGCGCGGTTCGACAAAGCTGGGTCAGACCCTTCGCCTGAGTGAGCCTCGCGTGATTTATCGCCCATCGCTTGTAAAGTTGGTAGCCAACTGAGGCGCCTTGTCGTTTTAAACGCTTTACAAACTAAGGTTGAAAGGCCGAACTAACTCAAGCGGACTCCGTGGTGCAGTGGTCAGCGCAAATGTGCAATCAACCCGGCCACCTGAGTTTGGGTTCCAGGTCACGGCTAAAATGAGTAGCGAGGGCTGCAACTGTCCCATTAAAAAAAAACCTTTGGGGCCGTCCATAAATGACGTCACGCACCTGGGGGGGGGGGGGTCAGACATTTGTGACGATGTGTGACGATGGGGGGGGGGGGGGGGTTGAGAAATGTGACGTCACATAAAAATACGCAACTTTAAATAAATATAGACAACACGTTTTCCTTAATTAAATAGACTTTATGACATTAAATACGCACTACAATGACAATAGTTTAAAGCGATTTGAATCATGTTTTATATTTTGGGGGGGGGGGGGGGGGCAGAGCTTTGTGACGTCATATTTGAAGGGGGGTCTGACTTTTTGTGACGCCGTGTGACGAGGAGGGGGTGGGGGTCAAAATTCGTCCAAAATCGCGTGACGTCATTTATGGACGGCCCCTTTACGAAACCAAAAGAACCATACATTCCAGTGACTTCTACGTTCAGCTGAGTCTCGCGTGGTAAAGTTGGGACACAGAATCGCTTTGCCAATCGCGGTCGCTTGCATAGACTCCCCCAGCCTCAAGGTGGCGCACCCTTCGTGCTGTGGGGTGGGACAGGTGACGACGGACCGTGTCGAGAATGTCACACTCGTGGTGTGAGCAGTGGAGTTAGCACTGCCATACGAACCCGGCGACCTGAGTTCGATTGCCGCTCACTGCCAACACCAGTGACTACTATATGAACCGATCCTGAGAATCCCCGAGGTCGATTCAGCCTGGTGCGATATGTACATGTCGCCACTAGGGAGACAAAGGCGGCCGGGCATGGTTGCTGCCCCCCCCCCTCCCTCGTGTGCCATGCCGGAAAGCAGCACTTTTCCCCAACAGTCTGTTAAGGCTATATATGTCTTTGCTGTGTTGCGCCGCAGTCACCGAGGCGCTGGTGCGAAGCCGTGCGGAGCACAACAATGGGGAGCTCTTCTCCCTGGAGGAGCTGTCCCTGCACCAGCAGCAGATCGAGCGGCTGCAGCATCTGGACGTGTGGTGCCGCCACCTCAAGACGCTCTACCTGCACAACAACGTCATCCCGCGCATCGGCACGGACACGCACGCGCACAGCACATGACGATAGCAGTGAAGGACTCCCCGAGCACGCCGTGTCAGACGTGGAGGTTGTTTGTCCGTATGTTTGAATCGCGCAAGTCAGTACTTCGTTGGTGAAGGGATGGAGTTCCCAGGACCGGTTTATATTTCACTCGCTGACGATGTTCGCCATCGGGGTTGAGTGCAGTGCGCTTTGCACTCCGCCACCACTCTACGCTTAAACACAAATTAAAACAAAAACTCGCAAAGAACATAATCAATTGCTGTTTTAGTACAATGCTCAAACATCTACACTCCCAGACTTATCAAATCTATATTGACCAACGTGGTGAAGTATAGACAAATAACCCTCACCCAGCAGTATTTACAATTGCATAGCACTCTGGTCAACTCGCAAACATTAACGTCGCTTTGTATATCTTGACACTACTCTCAAACCAACGCTTGTGTTACGTCGTTGTGAGCTGTGCTGCTTTGCGCTGTGTTGTGCAGAAAACCTGAGCCGGCTCAAGGAGCTGGAGTATCTCAACCTGGCTCTCAACAATGTGGAGCGAATTGAGAACCTGCAGGGTGAGAGAGGCTACCACAGTGCGGTCTGCTGTCCTTTATCCAGCGGGGACTCTGTTGAAATTCATTATCTATTTAGGGTGACGTATGTTAAACTTATTTTGCATGTACGTGCGGGGGAAGGACAACAGACTAACCACAAAAAACCCACAAAAAAGCAGTTTTAAAGAAATGGGTTTTCAATCGAGATTTAGACGTGCATAGCTCCAGTGGCTTGTTAATATCGCAAGAGCGTTCCAGACGGCCGCAGAAGCGCATCTGAAAGCACGCAATGCAGTGCCCGTCTTTGTTCGATGGCTCGCCGAAAGCCGCTGCGGTTAATCACATATTTGTTATTTTAATGAGAATATAAGTTGTGGCTGATTTGAAAATACTTTGATTTTACTTGGGGTCACAATTTTATGCATGGCTCAAATTGCGTCCTCAAATTCTGACAATTCATCGGGTTTTTTTTTGGAGGTGGAGTTTAATCGTTGTCTTGAAAATAAAGGTGAAAAGGTATAGAAGCAGTCTTGTAATTTCCTCCTCAAACCACTGCTGGCGGAAGGGCCTTCACTAGAGGGAGCTCTAAGCGAGCCCCACTCGAGGGTATTTGGGCCTACTCTTCCACGGTGACCTGACATCTTGGAAAAGATGGGAGGGCCCACATTTCACTGCACCATTTTACCCCACCATGCGTGACTGTGGGGCGTACCCATTTATATTTATGGGAGGACTGAGGTGGGGAGATTTAAGAAACTTGCCCCATTGTTAAGAAACTGCCATGCCAGGAAATTAAACCAATGACCTCTGGACTCTATCAGAGTATGCAGAAATATATTCCTCAAAGTAACTTTCTGGTGGGTGTCTCTCTTGAGTGTTGGGAGTATTTAAGAACTGGTAGTCACTGACTTATCTTGCATCTACCTTCTTGACTCCCTGCAGGGTGCGAGTCTCTGCAGAAGCTGGACCTGACGGTGAACTTTGTGGGTGAGCTGAGCAGCGTGGAGACGTTGCGCCACAACCCTCTCCTGGAAGAGCTCTTCCTGGTGGGAAATCCCTGCGCTGACTTCGAAGGCTACCGCCCCTACGTGGTGGCAACGCTGCCACAGCTCAAGGTCCCCATTTTAGTTTCTCCCGCTTGTGTTTTTTCTTGCTAATTTATCCCGATTGTGCTATCGCCGTCAAGCCATGAAACCAAAGTATTCGGATTTCTCGCAGAGCAGTGCAAGAAAAACCTTGTGAAAGAATGGCCCACAGAGAGCTACCTCCAAAATCCCTTCAAGTCGGCACAGTAGCAGGCAGCACTTTGCTCTTTTCGATAGCGTGGTTGGCATGGGCCCTGATGGCCATCTACACCTGTACTAACCCATAACCATACCGCCCTCATTCCCGCTATCCCTAATTTTACATCCCCTCACTCCCTGTTGCTCTTTTTTCCCATTTGCCAAACTCAGCTCTCTCCCGTCTTCTCGCCTCAACTTTGCCCTCCTCCTGTCCCTCACCGGTCCTGGTGTGTGGCTGCAGCATCTGGACGGGCAGGAGATTGAGCGCTCGGAGCGGATCCGGGCGCACCAGGAGCTGGAGTGGACGCGGCGGCGCGTTCTCGAGCAAGAGGCCGAGTACCTGCCTCGGCGCGCCCAGCAGAAACTCTCCTACGCCGGGTAAACACGCTCACGGCAACGGCACAGCCAAACGGCGGTCACACATTCACGGCACTGCTTCGTAGCAGTGTAACAACTCCCTGTCCACCATTCGCCGATTTGTCCTAATTCGGTGGGGGCATGTAACGATTCAGCAATTGTTAGGGTCACAATCTCATTAAAGATATTTTCTTTTTATGGTAATGTGTACTGTCTTGTGTTTGAACTGTCTTATTTCGTTTCATAAGCCAAAAGGTGACATTTACATATAATTTACATTCATGACAATTAATCTGTTCTTACATGCACAATTCGATACGTATAATGTGCTTTTAGATATTCTGAGTAGTGACATGTGTTCTCCTTTACAATGCCAGTTCAGACAGGTTCAGCTATCACCTGCCACTGATGGTAGCCGTGGCTGGAAATAAAACTCTGGTATCTTGCTTCAGAGTGCTGTACGCCAAAACCACTGCACCACTGCCTCATTCAATATGTCTGCTTCATGTAAATTACTTGCTTGTCAGTATGCTTTATGCCAGACCAGTTTGCAGAGTTGATTGCCTGATCGATCTCCACGACAGCCACCCATTGAATTCTGTGAAGAGTTGTACCAAAACTTGTTTGTTGCCTTCAGCAGAGGCAATGTTACATATCCAGCAATGGCATAGCATAAAACAAATTGCGGTGGTTTCACAACCTACGTTTCTTATTTGAAAGTTACAATTTCGAAACTCTGGTATGACACTACTGCACAATTTGTCCGCTCTTGCGAATGGCAGGATTTTAACTTCATGGCAAATGGTGTGCTTCAATCATCGCAACACTTTGTTGAAAAAAGGTGACGTGTGTAAATATGTTAATTGATCCGGAAACTGCATGGCCACTGCCGGTCGTGAGAGCTGCCAGTCCAGGTTGAAATTAGTAAGCTGCAGGATGGCTGTGTTGTGAGTTTGTGGTTGTTGCGATTCTAGGTTTCACGTGCGCTACCTATGTACCAGAGGTCGCAAACGGGGTTTGATTCCTTACCCGTACCCGTACCCGGCCGCACCAGGGTTGCAAACGGGTACCCGTACCCGATACCCGGCCGGGTACGGGTAGCCAGGTATCGGGTAGATTACGGGTATCGGGTACCCGATTGCGACCTCTGGGATGAAGCCATGTTGCAGGTGCGGGTGGGTTGATTCTAGGAACTTGAATTGTGAGAAGAGACAAGACGTTGGGAAATGAGTGACAAACGGTTACTCACCAGTGACTCACGGTCTACCCGTTACCCGTACCCGGCCGCACCAGGGTCGCAAACGGCTACCTGATACCCGGCCGGGTACGGGTAGCCGGGTATCGGGTAGGGTACGGGTATCGGGTACCCGATTGCGACCTCTGCTATGTACATTGCTCTGTTCAATTGTGCTTCTTAATTATGTTGGCGCATCACGATTTAACACTTGTGAGGCGCGATATCAATAAATTAATGAAAAACAATTTGTGACCGTTTGACACAGTGTTAATTGTTTGGCACCTGGCGTTGATGGCTTTCAGGAATTGGTTTTAATTATTTCTTTCCTCCATGCTGTCCTTGCAGACAGGAAAACGACGATGAGACCCGGAGGCATGATTCGAACGGTAGTGTGGAATCGAACCAGAGATTCTGGGAAGAAGAGACGGAGTTCACACCGGAATCACGAATGGAAACACACCGGCACTTGGAGGAAAGCCGCAAAGCCAGGGAGGGGAACAGGTGTGAAAGCGTGGGTGGCGTAGTGGTTAGTAAGTGCACTGTGGTACGAACCTGGTGTCCTGGGTTCGATGCCCGGCCACATCTAATATCAGAGGGAAATCATATCTGGGACTTGTTTAGCGAGGCCGACTCAACCCTAAACAAGAACCGGTTTGCGGAGTGTAAACATGACCACTTGAGAGACAAAGGTAGCTGAGCCGTGATGCAATTGTGTTTGATTTCTTTCAGTCTCGTTCATAGTTGTGTTTGTTCCATGAGCCTAAATGTCCCATTATTGTATAATTTGCATATTATGTGTGTACATTCTGAAAAATGTATTCGCACATTCATTAATCTATGCATTTAAAGCAAGCGTAATTAATTTTAATCGATGAATGAATGCACCATTACATACTTTTTGTTCATGATCAGGTGAATTGCAGTGTGTGGTGGACTTATCCTTTAAACAGTTACACCTTGGTCATCTTTGGTCTTTACTATCGTTTGTGATTTTAGATTAAGTGGTTAACTATTGTATTAAATTCATTAATTCAGTATCTGACTCTCAAAGCAGTTTGAGCAAACCTTTGTCGTACGTTGATGCTAAATCGAGTCGTGATAATTCTGAAGCCACCAGGAGCTTGATTGGTCCGAATTTGACGAACAAAATCGACGCTTACAAATAATATCCACGTAAACGTAACAATCTTGCCGGGTGGTGGAGGGCTAATGACAAGGATTTTGGCCTAAAACTACAACGACGTGGCATAACCCATCAACAAATACCGCATAGATGATTATACCGGCTACGAAAACCTACGTTCTAAGTGAACCACTGTGCCGTTTGGTTTTGTGTAAAAGGGGAGACACGAAACAGCCCAAGAGGGAACGCACTCTCATCACGGCCGACGGGCGCGTTTTGAACGTCAACGAGGCCAAGTGAGACGCGGCGCACAATCACACCCCACCTACCGGCAAAACACACGGTACAGCAGCATACAGGCAGGCAGCATACAGGCAGGCAGCATACAAGCGGTACACTGGGTGGGGCACAGCAAGGCAAACAATTCAGACGGCACAGCACGCTCAGTAGAGTCCTTGACTGCTCGCGCGCGTCATAGCACCGCAGGTAAAGTACACGCAGCACGGTGCATTCGGCATATACACAAAGTGTAGCACAATGTGGAAATATGCACACGGAACGGCGCATTCATATAGCAGAGTACAGGACACACCAGCGTAGTACAGGTACAGCCCGCTTGTCAATCCACTGCTGGATGAGGGCCGCCCCACGCCATGTGCGCAATGGGGGTTTTTAACCATACTTCACCACGTTGGTCAGTGCGTGTTGATAAGGGCAGGGAATAATGGATGTGGTAACATAGAAGTAGAGTACAGAAATTGATTTTGCTGCACTTCCCTTTGTTGCCCAGAATGTAGCCCCGCAACAGCTTGTAATGCTTGTCTGGTTACCCATCCAAGCACAATCGAAACTCAACCGTGCTTCTCTTCTCCCGAGATCTGACGAGAGCGTGCGCATTTGGGGAGGTCGTAAGCACAGCACAACATGGTAAAACAAAAGCAGTCAAGCACATTCAGCACAGCACATGGCTGTAAACTTTGCATAGCACACACCATCATGGGACACATTGCTCAATTGCGATTTTACACAGCAATCAATGCAAATGAGATTATACCCTGATCTATTGAGTCCTCACCTGGGAAACTTCATCTTGAAACAGCACAGTGCACACCAGCTACAGTGGTTCACTCCGCAAGGCAGTAACGAGAGTGTCCGTGTTTGCAGGTTGGATTTCTCACTCACGGAGAATGACGCCGACAGCACGCTGGTGTTAGACCTCGCCGTTTACAAGTGAGACGACTTGTTCAGGACAACGTGATCGTCGTCATGAAATGATGCAGAAGTGTTGCGTCACATGCTTGGTTAAAATGAGTGCAGTCATCATTGACCTATGGCCAAATCACCCGAAATGCATTCGATTTTGTTAGATCGCAGATTTTGTTAGATCACAGAAACTAAGCAGGGGTTGAAGCCCTGGAAAGTGCTTGGATGGGCCACCACCGTACATAACAAGAATTATAGGCTGCTGCGAGGCTACACTGTGGGCCTGCATAGGGCAGTGCATGAGAATACATTGTTATACTGTACTTCTATTCACCCATGTCTATGCGTGTTCTCTACATTCGTAATTCTGCGCTGCCAAGCATGGTGAAGTAGGGTAAATTAACACCCCATGGCCCGCAAGGCCGTCAACAATGATCAACTTGACAAAACGGCTGTGCGTGTAAATCTGTGACCAGACTGAGACCATCAAACGACACACGAGAGCTTGGTTTAACCTTGGTTTAGGAGCCGACAACTCACACCAGTTACAGGTCTCCCTTGATCTGTGAATACTGATTCCTTATGAGCTCACTCAGTGTTTTCACCTTGGCCTCACAGATATCTGGACACCTCTCTCATTGATGTGGATGTGCAGCCCAATTATGCACGCGTAACGGTGAAGGGAAAGGTCAGTATGGTGTGAAATTATTTACGCTTAGCCGCAGCAGCAATCGAATATTGCCGATGGTCATATGACCTCCCGCTTGCCATTTGATTCTTGATCAATGGATCTGCCCATTTTCACAACTGCACCCCATCCCACCCAAACCCCACCCCACCATCCCTGCAGGTGTTCCAGTTGGTTTTGCCGGAAGAAGTCCAACCGGATAGGAGCCTTGCGCAGAGGTCACAGACCACGGGGCACATGCTGCTCACCATGCCCAAGGTATTGCTTTTTAATTCAGGACATTTGGGCTCACTATACCAAGGTCGCGCAATGGTTTTGGTATGTTTCGAAGAAATAATTGTTATTTTTGCTCTTGTTAGCGTGCACATTCCCTCCCACCCTGTAATGTCCTGTCGCTCCTGCCACCGTTGATGGTCTTGGTCTGCTGGTTCCTGTAAAAGAGCTGCCGAGCTCAATTGGCCTTACCAGCTGAAATCAAATATTGAGTCCGAGTCTGGTTAGCACACAGTGTGATAGGAACACGGCAACCGGAGTTGGATTTCCGGCCACGGCTGTTATCATTAGCGAGTGATATCTGAAATAATTCTGCGCACCCCGTTCACCAACCCACACTGCACAGCGTGGTGAAGTATGGTCACACGTCCCCCGTGACCAACACGGCATGGGTAGGCCTCGGAGGTCGCAAACGGGTTTTGATTCCTTACCCGTACCCGTACCCGGCCGCACCAGGGTCGCAAACGGGTACCCGTACCCGGCCGGGAATCGGGTAGCCGGGTATCGGGTAGGGTACGGGTATCGGGTACCCGATTGCGACCTCTGGGATGAAGCCATGTTGCAGGCGCGGGTGGGTTGATTCTAGGAACTTGAATTGTGAGAAGAGACAAGACGTTGGGAAATGAGTGACAAACGGTTACTCACCAGTGACTCACGGCCTACCCGTACCCGGCCGCACCAGGGTCGCAAACGGGTACCCGTACCCGTACCCAGCCGGGTACGGGTAGCCGGGTATCGGGTATCGGGTAGGCTACGGGTATCGGGTACCCGATTGCGACCTCTGGTAGGCCTTCACCCAGCAGTGGATTGTCAAAAGGGATATAAATTATTATTATAGTAATAATACTAAATATTAAGTCCATACTACAGGACCTACATACTTGCCATGTCATAATTAGATTCTTAAGATCATGAAAACAGTAATTGCATCGCACATGTAAGAATACATTATTTACAAATTCTGCAAATGATACACTTTTTGTGACGTATGAAAAAATGGAGTGGATTAGAGTGTACAGATGAGACAGAACAAACCAGAAACAAAAATCCAAACAAGATGGTAAAAACTAAACAGAAAGAAATAGGTTATTTAATCAAATAGGTGCCCCAAACTGTGTAGAGCATCGGACTGGAATCAGAACAAAAACTAAAATAACGTTATCGGTACTGAGGCTCCCATGCGGCCATACAGGATGGCGTATGTCACAGTTTGCTGCCAACTATCATAGAGTGCGATCGTGTCGCTACAGTTCTCTGCGGTGAGTACAATGTCCTTTGAAAACAACAGCTACGTAAAATTAATGCAAACCACTTGCGCGTTCCGAGATTCAGCGGGTGAACGAGACCCACCCTGCAACTGGCAGATGTCTCGGGACTGGAAAGGGTTAATAGAATCACACGGACTTATAGGCCACCCTGCAGGATCCGAGCAATTGCTTAAGAAGCCACGATTTACCAGTGATATAGAAAAGAAAGGCCTTTACTAGATAACACCCAATTTCCCCCTCTTTTTGCAATTACATTTCAGCAATTTGTACGTAGATTATTTCATTACCACGTTTACACGGACATCCATTCCCATGGGCAAAAGTGGTTTTATTTGAAAATTACGATCACTTGAAGTAATTATAAAAATGTGGCCAAAGTGCACAGATACATCTGAACGCAATGGCTCCCTCATGCAATCGACATTACGATGTTGTTTAACAACGCTGTTATGGCCAAAGTATTGCGTCTGAAATCATTATGAGACGCGGGGTGGATTGAGCAGGATTTCAGCTGTGACTGCTATGCGTGCCATTGCAGTGAAGAGCGGCTTACACTTTTTTGTTAAATCATTTTATGTGCACCATTCGTGTCAAATCACAAGAAGACCTTTCTACCCCATCTCACACAGAGTAGTGCATCCCTTTGTGTTCAAGAACGGCCCGTGGAAGCGAATATTATAGAGCTACCCCAGGATCCACCAGGTAGTGGGAAGCACATTCTCACCTGCTCTCAGATATGAGTGTAATTTTCATTGCTTGATGATCAATAATAAAAATAATTCTAAGAGATGGAATTTTAGCCAGTTTAAGTGAAAAAAATGAAATTTTATTTGATGGGTTTTGTTTTTTTCTGTGCAGTCATTCATTAGCAACCGGGCTGAGACCACGAACACGCTGAACACTCGAGAGCCTGGTTTAATCACAAGTGACTGCCTGGATTAAAATCTCGGAGCCACCCAGGTACCACCAGACTGACACTTTGATTCTGTTACACAGGTGAAGGAGGTGGTGAAACCTGAGGTGGTGAAACCAAAGCCTTGTGTGAAGAATCATCCCAAGGAGGAGTGCACGTCACTCACAACCAGCAATCGGTACAGCACCCACAGTGGCAATTTCATGAAATGAAATCATTTCATTGACATCCAATGGTATAGAGCATGTGCATCTGCATGCATTTAGCTGTGTATATATTTCTATGGACGAGAAGTGGCACAGTGGTTAGAGCACTGCACTCCGAAATGCGCTATGAGGTTTAATTCCCGGCTTACGGATTATTTCAGTGATGAGGGATTTATGAATTGAGTCCCCTTGCACGAATCAGTACGGTAAAGTACGGTCGAATAACTCACATGACCGACATGGCTTGGGGAGACCTCAGTCCATGCGGTCTAAACGGTATTTGGCGATCGCTACCTACATCACTGAAATTTCCGCTGGATTTGATGATCAATTCTACGCCTTTAGAATGGAAAATCGAGCTCTAAACTGACTGTTGATTTGTCGATGACCGTGCGTCAAACTCTGGCCTAATTCGGCGTCTGCTCATGCACGCAGCGGCGACTCGAGCCAGGGCTCTGCGCACCAACACCTCGAGGTCGACCCCAGCGCTCGCCGCGGCATCGATGTCGCCACCATCGTCCGGGACGCGGGTCGCGGCGCCAGCGGGACGGGCAGCTGCCCTCCCAGCCGCCCCCTCGTCCTGTCGCGTTGCCCGCCGAGGGTCCAGCCTTCGTCGACGACCCCGACGTCCCTCCGCTCATCTGAGCAGTGCAGTAGCATGAGTGACGCGGGTTCTGGTGCAACGAATTAAATTGCCCCCCAGCCCTCCGTCCCATTTCCTCACTCATTGGAGCTCGGCGCCTCGGGCCGCTCCACCACATATGGGCTGCTGTGCACACTCGACAGCTACACTAATGCATACGACTGCCTGTCGCGACAATGCTTTGGTCACGGAGGTGGCTGAGTGTGTCAGGCCCTTGATGCCTACATTGAAACATGAGACTGTGTCTCCTAAGAGGACCTGGGTTCAAGCCCTGGGACCGATTGTCTTTCAGGCTATCATACCCATGTTAGAGCACTGGGCCAGCACAATGCAGGACTTCGGTTCAAGCCCTGGGGACTGGGTGTCTTCGACAGACGGCTGATGTCTGCGTTGCAACACTGAGGTAGGGTCTCTAGTCGGCCCGGGCTCTGAGACCAGCCACTGGAGTTTGATGCTCGGGAAAAACTGAGGAATCCGTGAAAAACTTTCGACTCGTGTACATCGTGTTTCAGCCCCGAGGGCTAAGTTCTCATACTCCATTCAGTGTTCGTCAATCGAGGGAACATCCATGGTACGTGATTATATTTTTACGGAATAGAGACATGGAGATGTTATTAATATTTTACACCTTGTGGCACAACAATAAGTTTCAAGTTTGGGATTTTTGGCATTGACACACAGTGGTTTGAACAGTCTTTAACGTCAACTTGACAGCTGATGATAAGCTTTGGTTGATAATAATGATAACAGCATCTCTCTGAAAAGAATCCAATGCACAGAACTAAAAGATCGGATAGAATCACAGTGACTTGGGGCTTAGTGAGGGTTAACGTGGCATTGGCTCAGGATCAGCAGACATCTGCGAGAGGATAATCCATCACAGCCCTCCCCCACAGCGATGGGCCACAGCCTGCTAATGGTGTGTGTGTGCATGACATGCATGTACGGATGCGTGCATGTGTGTGTGTATATGCAAGTATGGGGAACATTAGTGAAGCGGTTATCACGCTGCGCTACGATCCTGGTGACGTGAGTTCGACTCCCAGTTATGGCCAACGATAATATCACCATCTTGGCTCTATAATATCTGATGTGTTTAATAATACAGTCAATGGTCATGAGATGCATTAAATATGCATGGATTTGCACTGAATGAGATGTGTGTTTGTATATATGTATGTATGTGTGATATGGGTTTGATTCCCAGCTATGGCTCACATCAGTTGCGAATATTTGAACCAGGGATGAGTCTCCCTCTAGCTCGACTCAACCTTAAACGAGTAACTGGTGCAGTGTCTAAAAATCAGCACAGAGGAGTCAAAGGTGGCCTGCCTGGTCTTGGCCCCACGTAGCCCTTGAATACCTTTGCGGCCTTAATAGATGCACGCTAATAGCACTTGCCCCAGTGGTGTATTAAAGGCTGCACAGAGCAAGTTTTGTCTTTGCATGCCAATGCAGCTTGCAAGTATTAGGGGGCCATGCATAGCTGGAATTTTAACTTCAATATTTTTTGGGTGTATTATAAATATATATTCTTATCTTAATTGTAAACTACTGAAAATAAATCATAAAGGTGTCCAGATTTGGGGGGGGGGGGGCATCGGCCCTCCATGCCTCCCCCCGCAAACTCCACCCATGGGGCCATGATACTCTTCATCATCACGAGCGGCTTGGGCCTCCTTTAAGTTGACTCAGCCTAAATTAAGTACTTGGTGTCATGCGTGTCAACATTAGCACTGGGGAGATAATGGCGACAAGAATCGGTCTTCACCAACCCACTGTCTCACGCGGTGATGAGAATAAAGTATGCACCGTTATTGGAACATGTCAAAAAATGTCTATTATACAACAGGCATGGACCAATGCATCAATTAAACATGAAAATATATTCTTATGCTGATGATACGTGCATAGAATCGTGAAAGAGTTATGTATTCAAATTATATGCACATTGTATGCTAATGTCACATTTAGGCTAACGGAGCAAACAAACTGTGGAAATGAGAAAGATGAAAAAACATTGGAAATAAGGAGATGGCAAAACACCAGACGCAAAGAAACGTGATTCTTTGATTGAATAGTGGCCCTGAATCATGACAGTTGAATCACCAGGGGGAGGCAACTGTTACATGCCTGTTATCTAACTTTGTAGCCTACTTTAAAATTGCAAGACAATAGAAATTTCGTATTAAACCAACCTGTGGTCTACTCAGTGGCCTATTTGTCAACACACTCATTCACCACTCAGCGAGTCCTAAGTTGATTTTTTAAACCCACCACAGTCGTTCCAACGGTCTTCTTGTTTTGTATGGCAAGAGGTGGTGAGCATCTCGCCGTGATGCCGAGATGCTAACCACCTCACCTGGTATAAAGCAGGTCGTGGGTTCAATCCCGACCCTGATGCCTGCTGTATATTTGGAGTTTGCATGTTCTCCCCGTGTTGATTTTTCTCTGGGTCCTCCAGTTTTTCCCTCCACATTTAGAATCATGCGTTTAGAGGAAATGGCTGCTTTAAATTTCCAAATGGTAAGCCACTTCGTTGAGCTATTATTTGTGGCCAGGTGGCTTCTGAAAGAGAGCTATATAGCTCAGTGGGCCTTTCCTGGTAAAATAAAAAAAAACAGTTTATAGAAGTTTAGGTTTAATGAATCAGCCAGTGGATAGCTTCAGGAGTTGCCTGGTGAACGCTGCCAGCGTTTGAGATATTCAGGTATTCATCCAGATGGTTCTTCTTTCTCGTGGTTCTTCTTTCCCGGTTGCCACCAGACGCCAACCCTGCTTCTTTATCCTGGCTTGGGACAGGCAGAAACACATTTCTGGTGGAGTTTCTCATGGAGATTCATATACTTTGCATATAAATCCACAGGCAGGCCACATTTGTCTTCCCTGGTGGTGATGCTGCTTACACACCACACTAGGTACTCGTTTGAGGGTGAGTCGACTTAGAAGAGACCCGGGAAAGGTCGCTGGGATCATAGTGCGGTGGAAAAACTGCTGCGCCATCAGTCCATCCTGTATATCATTAGTCTACAAAGCACCCTGCACCGTATTGCAGACAAATGAATGAACTCTCAAGAATTCACAATCCGTGCCAATAAAATTGCACCGACGTATTCATATTGGATGTCAAGCGTTGGAAGCGTTTCATCCAGCACAAACTTTATTTTTTTTTCCTCCACATTCTCGGTGTAAAATTTTCAGCACTCAATTCCATTTTATAGTAGGAACATGTCTTTTTTTAAGTGGATAAAAGCACGCAAGGTTATATACCCGGGGCTTTGCCAGCAGCTGGCACAAATTACATGGAATTTAAATAAATATATTAAAATCATCACTTATTTAACGAGCCGCGTGAAACAAAATTGACTTTGTCTCTCTTTTAAAAAGGCATGTCAGACTTTTCCACTCTGCCGTGGTTGGAGTCAATTCTAAAGCATGGACAAAACAGCGGCTGTTGGGTTGCATAAGAATGAGGGTACTGAACGTGTCGTAATGAGAGTGCATGGCAAACGCACTTACAATATTACCGATGAGCGCTCTCTTTACCACTCGTTTTCAGAGGGCTCTAACTTGCCTTTATACTGGTAGGAACCTCCTGGTTACACCAGCGAACAGGGGATTATTGTGTCCGTCCGTCGTGCAGGGAGGGGCTGGGTGGGCAGGGAGGGGCGGGGTGGGGAGGGGAGGGTGCGGAGGGGCTGGGTGGGGAGGGTGTGGCTGGGTGGGGAGGGTGGGGAGGGGCTGGGTGGGGAGGGTGGGGCTGGGTGGGGGGTGGGAGGGGTGGGGCTGGGTGGGGAGGGGCTGGTCACCACGTGGTGCCCTTATAAAACTCAACGTTTAACCTACTCACGCCGGCTTGTGCCCGCCCTCACAGCCGGGCATATTTGCGGAATACACCACGCCGCCGTTGACCCTGCAGGCCATTGACCGAGCAACCCACCGTTCCTACCAGCTCCCTCCGCAGGAATGTGTTTTGCTGGCCTGTTCGACTGAATTATAACTACATTACAAATCTCCGCGATGTGTTTTCGGCATGATGTCTAATGTTTATCTCTATGGGCTGGGAGCTTCTTCGGGAATTTAATTGTTTTTCAACAACACAGTACAAACCGGAAACAGATCAGAGGGCTATATGGCAGAGCCGCGAAAATACACTCAGATCTAGCATTATGCATCCTCCCAAAAAAACACTTCAGCAACCATAACACATTTATTTTAGCTGCTAATCGCTGACCCGCTATATACGACAATCAACAGTCCAACCTATTGCATAATCTTTAAACGGCACAAATATTACAGGGGCAGATACAGCCAAAGTGTCGTAGTTTAAAGCGAGGGCCTGCTATCTTGCAAACCCAGTCCACACGGCCGCCCTCCAGCCGTCATCGTACCCCCTAGTGAGCGACAGCGATGTGCATCAGACACGATATCGATCGCGGAATCACGACCCGTGCCCTGCGCTTTAATTTAAGAAAAAAAAACTGAGAGTGAACAAAAAAAAAGAGCGAGCTATTGGCAATAACCGTGGCTCTGTTGTGTGTCCGCCCGGGTGACAATAAATAAATCACGGACAAGCGTAACGTGGCGCTGATCAATTTTTAAAGAGCCCATCGCACAAACACCATCATTTAACGCCGTTAAATCAATCGGGCGAAACCCATGCGTGTGCATCCTCGTGCGGTCGTTTGTCTAAATTACAGCCGCGTTTCTGCGCTGGCTGCGACGTCTGACCGTGGCCGTGGCAAACATTTGCCGATGCGGCTCTGGGTTCAAGGAGATTCACGAACTCCACGCACCAGGCCTTTTGGGCAATCTTGCACACTTTGTTTCATGGTGGGTGGATTTCGATGAAGCCGAATGACGCGTGTTGTGAAAATTAAGAAAAGTAAAATGGGCTTCATCTTCTTGGTTCTTTCGGTAAAGTCACGTAGAAGGGAAATAATAAAATAATAAAAATAAAACATAATAAAATAATTCTCACGACGTTTCGGCCACAACGCAAGCAGCCGTCCGTTTCAGACGCTGTCTTTCCGGCAGACCTGTTCTTCACCTGAGGACGGCTGCTTGCGTTCTGGCCGAAACGTCGTGAGAATTATTTGATGATGCTTTATTATTATTATTTTATTATTTTCCTTCTACGTGACTTTACCGAAAGAACCAAGAAGATGAATCCCTGCAGTCACGAAAGCTTTAAATTAAAATGGGCTTGGTCAGGAAACAACATCGCAAGAACGGGTGGATGCCGATGGTCAAGAATAATGACGGATTGGCGGCCGGGGGGGCGGTGGGGGGGGCATGAATTCGGCTAACGTGCACGTGGCTTGCTGGATTATGACATGGCAGGGTCTCGAGAGGAAGTGATCGCTTGGGGAGGCCTGAAATCAGCGGTGGATTGACCATGGCTGACGATGAGTGAACTTGGATGATCACTGTGCAAAGCTGCTTGCTGCTGCTGTGTTTCCATGCAACGTTTAGATGAAATTTAAATTGAGCTGAAATTTGTTCAGAGCTCCTGTTTCTTATTTATTTTAGATCGTGATAATGTACATCAATAGCCAAGTAATTAGAATGATTACGAAGCGAAATGAATTGGCATCACCAATGCCTATCACGATAGAAAATCGTCAATTAGGATTTTTTTTTCAACAACAGTCAGTTGTCTCGGAGTTCAGAGCGCTAAGCCAGCTCAGTTTGAGACCTGGGTTCAAATCCTAGGCAGTCATCCGCGATTAAACCGGGTTTTCAAATATAGCGAGTTGACAATGTCAGATTTGGTTTTGCACTTCATTTCGTTAATTTCCTCGCTCTGAGAATTAAAAAATATCAGCTTGTCTGTCACGTGACAATCTCATAGCAGCAGCAGGGTGTGACCCCACCGGATGTGTAATAAACAAAAATGGTTATTTGAAACATTTGACAGAATTGCTATATATACGTGAAAAAAACCTATATTCTTAAACCATCCTCTGACACAAGGGGTGCACTGCTCTGAAAGATTTCCGAATGGATTCCTCGTCCTACAACACGATGCCGATAACGCAGAGCATGGAAACACCCACGTGAACGTAAAACCGAGGAGTGTTTTATTGGCATCTGAGTGGGAGCGGTATTGAATGAAAATGTGGAGCCTATCACAATTAACGAACGAGCATACAATCTAATGTACGTATCGATCTGAACGGTCTGAATCTAAACCAACGATGTGAGAAATAACGGGAGGCGGAAACCTGCTTCTTGCAAATTTGGGATTTCAAGAGAACATTATAATGGTGATGACGACAATGAGCCAGCACTGTCTCATTACCGACCGAGTCTCCTGGGCATCTGTGCGGATGTCATCGTGACCCTGTCCTTGCATGCAGTCTCGTGTGCACCGCATGCACCCCGAGTTGTGAAAACACCGAAGCTGACTGAGCCCGTTTCCTCTCGAATACTGTGAAGCTGGAGCAAAGACAAGATGTGTGACAAGCTCATAACCTGTATACATTCACACGTGCAAATCGATGGCAGCTAATGATCACGTTAATATCGTGTACGGCGCTGTTGTTAAAACTGTGTGTCGTGTCTGGGTGGATTAATGGATTTACACTATATTCTTGGTTCTTTCGGTAAAAAAAAAACCGAAGCTGACTTACCACGTTTCCTCTTTTTTGCCCACTACAGCAAATTATTTCTTCTTCTTGGTTCTTTCGAAAGAACCAAGAAGATGAATCCCTGCAGTCACGAAAGCTTTAAATTGAAATTATTTCTTGCTGTGGCTGTCCCACCTGATGACAGAAGCTTGTGTTGCTTTCGAAACGTCGTGATTCGAATTTCTTTATTTTATACCTACGTGACTTTACCGAAAGAATTAAAGAATATGGATCATTGCGGTCACGAAAACTTAAGATCTAGATTTATTTCGGTAAAGTCACGAAGAAGGGAAATAATAAAATAATAAAAATAAAACAGAAAATACGCGTGGAGCTTCTGGGGGGGTTGAATTCTGGGCTATTGAATCCTGGGCTATAGCACCAATCGCACTCAGCTCTCGTGTTAAGTACTGTGTGTGTGTGAGATCAAACTCAGTTACACACATGTTAA